AAAGTCAAAACCAACAACTGTTTCGTGACAGATTCTCAGTTTTTCAAGATAATCCATTTCCTACAGTTAATTCTTAAAACGTGCATGGCTTGGCAAGTAGCTGAGGTTTCCAAATTCTCACCAAGCGAAGAAACATTTTAAATATTTAGTTTAACAAAACCCCAACTTGAATGTTAATGAACAGTACCTACTCGACCGCAGCCAGAAATATCTCGGGCAATATCCTTCACAAAATCCACTGCAAAAACTAGGTCTGCATAGCTACTTATTAGATTTACCTACTTTCTAACTATGTTGTCATTCGCTAGTTTATACTGCAAGAAAGTCAGCAACATATGCTCCTAATATTACGGCAACATTACTCTATAATTATGAAAACATAACCTAGTTGCGGTTTACAACATCGATAAAACGCTGCTCTTAATATAAAAGCACGTCTCTTCACACGGTACAACTGTTCATGTCAAAAGGTTTATAACGGAACGGATCCTTCATAACCCCTACAGAGTTTAATGTTTACTCAGGAAGCAATGTCAAATATTGACTGTTTGCTTCACTGTAAACATTCTATGATGATACCTACAAAAGTTCATTCCAAAGGCCATAAAAGTTATCCTCAATAAACCCCATCGACAATAACACACGGCTGAACACACAAATTGTTGTTTTCCCTGCGAACCGTTTCTAATAGCACCCGGAAATTATTTTTCATACGTCTCCAATCTCCAGCGAACCGGCACAACCTTTCCACAGATTTAATTGTGCGCACATTGACTTCAATAGACTCAAGGCGAAATCAATATTGGATTTAAATGACAGATATTATTGTAATCACATCTAAACACTTATGTCACGTACGCGAAATGTCTACACAAATTAATAGATGGCCCGAACCGACCGCCAGTTAAGTGCGTTAATTTCAGCTCTTTCATACGTGCGGCCTTGTAATAGCTTCATAATTTTGTGCCATTACGAATGCTTTTCAGAATGACATTTCATTTTATATTTTTAAATGGCACCCATTCATGACGAATGCGCTTGTTAACGTGGATTTTATTTTAACGTTCATATTCTAAAAGATCTGACCTCTGGCATGAATGGCTCTCCAATTAAGGTACTATTAAAACTGCACTGATTTTGTGAAATGTATAAGAAAGATTTTATTTTAAAAAACCTCAACAGTCACAGTTTTAATGACCTGCCATAAAACAATGGATATCGCAAGCAGTATATAGTACTGTCAAGGCTTCCTAAAGAACATTTTCAGATTACAGACATGCAAAGTGATTAACCCGAAAACACAACTAATATACAAAACGGCCGCTTCCGATACCCCGAGTAGAGACGATAATGTTTGCGAGTGGAGACAGATAATTTGAGTTAATTTACGATGGAGCGATAACCTAGCAGCAACTATCGTACTGCGTGACAGATTGAGGCCTAGATATAACACCAAAGAGAAGTAACCAAATGGAGTGGCAAATATACGGCGACGACAAACGCCACGCAGAAATTTGCCATATGACCCGAAGGCGGCGGTCCAAAGACATCTACGATCCTTTACTCGTACTCCAAGTATTTAGGAAGTGAGTTCAATCAAAGGCGAAATGTGCATATTCCGACTTCATTGATTAATCACCCCACAACGAACACAATCCGCTCAAACGGCCAGCTATTTGAAACAGCAATTGTGGCACCACTTTAATATTGGCATTACTATTAATGGAATGTGTTCCGCGTAACTGCAGCCACTATTGTGTCTGATTAGATGACAGCTATAACAATTGCTAACTAAGCTAATAACTATACGTTTCGTAACCTATTACATGGTCGAATAACAGGCTAATGAAAGTACTCTGGAGTTTATTTTTCTTTTCTCTAGATTGTTCACAATATGCGCTGAGTTATTGGACACTTTTATTTTTCGACGATACAATAATAATAGCGTATCTTCGATCTCTTTTGTGTAAACACAATGCTGCCGAACCTGTTTAAATGATACTGTCACAACGAATCAAACATTCTAGAGCAGCTACTGGCGTATAAATAAACACCCACGCCGGATTATGATAAATATTATGAAGTACACAGCGTGTAACAATCAGGTCGGTAGTACAGGATGGCCTTCAATCATAAAAGCCCCAGATCTTATCTGACGTTAATCCCTTATTAAGTAAAAATATATCTTACTTGAACCACCGGTTAATAGAGGCCCTCCATTTATGGGAGCGTGTTTACCCAAACCGTAATGTGTAGCGCATTAGTGGGAAACATTAGAGCACAATGAGCCTTAATCTTTGAACGGTAACAACTTGTCAAGTAAGGGAAGAGTGCGACCTCCCGCCGCACGACACTACCTGGGAGGTCCGACGGTGCTGTCGACGACAACCAAATTAATAGCTTACAAGTAATCAGAGATAGCAGAGCCACCTATCACCGCGTGAGAATATTCTTAATGACTTGGAAACACATCATGTTTGAGATACCCCGTCTTATTATTTTCGATGCCTTTGTCGCTGTGCTCCATCCGTCGAAACATTGTAAGCATAAAATCAATTACGGAACGATGACTTCTCGACTTTGAATGCGACATATTTCTTTCGATGTCAGAAAGCGACGAGTCTAATGAATAAAATATTCGATGTTGTCGAGTATTTGAATAGATCGTTACGTGGCCCCTAACCTAATCCATGACCAACACATTATCCATCTTGCGTGTAAATTTAAATGACCCTTTGTGACTCCTGTCAAAATACTTCTTACAATAACATGACGCACCCTGCGCTCGCGCTCTAATCAAATTTAGAAAACATGTAAACATTATACATACACCATACTTTATACATAAATCTTTTCAAACGTCCAACGATTTAAATTGAAAATGATTGTCCAATAATGAGATGTAATATTTAAAATTAAATCTAAAGAAAAATGGACTCCTCGCTCAGGTAAATAAATAATGGTTAGGTGTCTACTTAGTGTCTTTTACTACCCTTCAGTAAATTAAGTACGCCGTATAGATAATATTTTTGGGTCCAATAAAAATTCTGTTCGGGCGATAACGCCCGCCCAAGTGCGGTCGATATGGGGAGGGTATGAGAAATAAGATTATTTTCGTTGCAAATTGATCAAACGAAATTTATTTTACGCTCCCCTACAGATAAGACAAACATTCTCAACGAAAATAAAGATACTTTTATGACTAAAGCGAGGAAAAACAAAAATATTAAATAAACTGCCAACACATAATTACACCGCAACGTAGAGTGGGGACAAGGCAGGAACAAATGGCTAATTTGACAAGATCCAGATAGCTTTTAAAAATATTGTACAGAATTACCACAATAAATTAAAATGAAATATATCTGCGTTGCGGAGCGAATCAGTGGGTGTCAACTCCAACGTTTATTACAATTATACTGTGTCTTGGATATTTCCATTTCCATAACAATAAAACGGGTAGCTATTGAATGTATAATGACGCGTGCCTAGTGTTGAGTGGACCACCGTGGCTAGTGCGGCTACCACCGGTAAATATATTAAGTGAGCACCACGTGATGGACAGTTAATTTACGGCTTGCTAACCGGCATAGCAATGAGGAGCCAACAGATTGGGACGCGACGACATTGACATAATCAACGTCTCGCAATGTGACAATTGTCTCATAAATGTGATTCGTAGTCAGGTATCGCCAACATTTCCATATAATTTGATATAACAACTTAAACAATAGCAGAAGAATTTAAAATGTGTTAAAATTCCTGAGGGAATGGAGACTAAATCGTGTAGTGATCAGTCACAGCGTTGTATTCCCGGCACGTGAACTATGCACGTTTCGCTCGTAGTCCAACACGTAGCGCCGCTCTCGAAGCATTACACGTCTTAAAAACGTCGTCCATTCAGCCAGCACCTGATCAACTTAGTTCAGGCTATTTCTCACAAGGATTTTTAAAATAAATATAACATAACATTCTAACTTCATTAAGTTGAAAATAATACGTTTTTACCAAAAACAATTTCAATTTTAAGAGGCAGTAATCCAAACAATTAAATACATGAGATTTTATTACACAATACATAAGTAGGTATTGTTTCAAGTAAAATTGATACTTTATCCGAAAAATTAAATAAAGGCATAGCTGGCAAAATACCGAATAAATAATACCTCTATCCAGTACCACAACAAAATTATAATATAAAAAGAATATCTCGACTAACAGTTTTATTAACTAGGTACCATCTTGTTTCGTTCTATGAGTCTTGGTAGATTTCACAAATAAAGTCGTTTCCATGATAATGCTCCATCGAGGCGGACCCGACAAATAGATTGTATCCATTATCCCATACCATTTATTTCTATGACTATCTCCGAGCACCTAGTACGTTCGCCACAAACATTGTCTGCGTTGGATATTTAGCTACTTACATACAACTTGGGTCCACATATAAACGTTTACGAGCCCTGTAAACTGTGAGCGGTAATCAAATCGAAATTCGTTTTCAATCAGCGATGCTAACCACGTGCGACCACTCGTATAATCCCCAAGGGCGGCAGACAATAGTCGGGAGAGGTGATTTGCATGGTCCTCTGTATCAAGTATCTATTATTTATGTACATTCGGCACATTTGCATGCCCAAAACAGGAAAGGCCAGCGATGGGCCCAAGGACACGTCGTCGCCGGCGCCGCTGATGTAATCGAATGTCCCTGTTGTTTCGCGCCGACACAATAATAATTCATATTCAAATTTCGAGCCCGAAATAATTACCACGACATGAATTTATCGCGCCACAATATGACTTCAACTCTTTGTCGCCATTGGGAGCCCAACACAGAATTCTAATGAGACACGTGTTGCAGTTTACACAGCTTGGAGTCACTGAGCTATTCAACCAACAAAAAATATGTTCGTGAGCCAACAAAAACCAAATGGAATGCTTTCAATATTAAGAACTTTACCATGACTGAGATGAAACAGTTTTTTGTATAAGGTACTTACTTCCAACCGGTAGAGTATCTCGAAAACAGCCATATTTCGTTGCTGTGCGGTCGAAAACAATGACACCGTTTTCGCGCTCGTTGACAGTTGCATGGCCTCTGTGAAAGAAAATGGATAGTTTGAGTATATGTATAGTTGTTAAAACGATGTTATATACAATTATTCGAAGATCGTAAAAGGAAACATGACACTCAGGTCAGCGTAACACCTGGGTAGGTATCTATTAAAATGAAATAATGAAACAGAAGGATAAATCATACATGGAAATATTCCAAGCTCGAGGTAGATCAATAAATTATTGCTTAAGTACATTTAATACAAAAGTTAAATCGTTCCCTCGCGTACAATTTAAACGAGAGGGATTTTCATTTCCTCCATTGGGCGTGAGTTCTTTGAAGAGGGATCGTTGTGTGCGGAAATTACCAGTGAAATCGGTATCGTTGCCGTGCCAGCGCGTGCCGAGCGGACGCACGGAGCGGACACTCGCTCCAGTCCCCGACACCCGAGACGAGACTTCACGAAAATCAGAAAATCCGACGTTCAGCACACCCAGAAACTCGTAACTCAATCTGAACATTTTTATCAGATTCCCATATATATTACCTACACATTTTGCGCAATTTGTTGAGGAAGTTTACCCAGAGTAAACCAAAGCTGTTTATCGTTATTAGGAATATTTGTTACTACGAGGGTAACAGAAACAGATAATAAATGTCGGAATTGTTATCGGGGTGTGGCGTTTGTGGAGAGAAGAAAATAAGTAAGATTCAAATTAAAAAAATACGAATGAAGGACTAGACAAAATGTGTGACGAATATAAGGTATAAACAGTTTAAGTAAGGTTATCGGAAAATAGATAGATTCTAGATTCTAGAGTGTCAGTGACATGACACGAGCATAAGATTAAAATCATCTTAGGGAAATCCCAACTAATCATTATGTAACAATTCTCTGTTACAATTGGGAGTGGGTGGACAAGGCCGATGACAACAACCATCCCACATAAAATGTAGGACCTTTTATAGAGTAAATCTATTAGACGGCAAAATATTAAATCCGCACGTTCTGGACACTGCACAAGTAATGAAGCTGAATAGTGAGTTCGTAGAGTAAATTAGAAGGACGGAAGCGAGCGGGCCGGATGTCCGTAGAGCAAGTGGCGCGAGATACACTCAAATACCAAATTACACAAATGTACAAGAGTAAATATACGACGCTACACAGCCAGCGGGTACTGGTGGACGGTATTTACTAACATGCATACTGGAGCTACAGGAATGCTTGCTCTTACTACAATCATTGTACGTGCTACTAAAACATGGTTACTTTGGTTACAAGGAAAGCTAGACTGCAATTACTTTCAGGAACTGACACACCTGGTAAACTCTTGAAGTTAAAGACAAATTGAAACCCACATTCTGCTCGAAATGTTCACATTACCTAGAACCAAAGACGAGGATGCGAAGCCTTGATATATCTCAATTCAGGACAACAGAGACTCTAAAGTTAATTTGATTCTCAATCAAGGCCCTGGAGGATATAAAAGACGTAATAAAACGTTGCAAGAAAATATTATTATGTCAAGGGAACGAGGAAACGAGAACCGACTTTCTATTGATTACAAGAAAATACGTATTTTAAAGAATCAGCTAGAATAACCAATAAACGAGTAGGTAGCTATAGCAATTTTAATCTGCATTGAAATTTCGAGAACCCGACAAAAATTTGGAACAAAGGGGATTGATTGAATGTCTCGGTTTCGATCCAAAAGAACACAAAAATATCTGAAGCGGTATGAATGGGGAATGGCAACATTGTCTACGAATACGTAGTGAGTGTACGACTGTTGGTGTACGATCGTTCGTTTCAACGGGCGGATTAATCATTTTTATTTGTTTTCATGCTCTGAACACCGAACGTAACTTTGGATAGATATTGCTGAATTCGCTCAGATTTAATCAACGTTGATATTGTCTTCGTTTTTCTTACATAAACTTTCTATAGCTCCAAATTCCGAGACATTTCAGTAGGTACTTAATTCTGTTTGGTATCTCTGATACTCATTAAGTTTTACTAGTTATGTTGTTTTCTCTGATATTTGACGGATTCATATTCACTGTTCTTAATTATCATCATCATAAAACTTCTGTAGAAATCCGTTGATCCGCACGTAAAACAATAGATTTATGCTGTTTACATACAATTTTTGTATGGCTGACTCCTGTGTTCAAAATTATTCAAAGCGGAACAAATGCTATAGAATTAACAATGGCCCGAGAGCATGTAGTGGTACATTGTAATGCGTAGAAACAAAGCAGTTAGGTTACTAGAAACACATAATACGTATGCTGCGCACATACATATAGTTAAAGTTGAGCTCGTAAGCACCAGAATACATTCATCCTTTGTTGGGACCCTGTCACGAAACTATAAAAGAAGCAATGAGGAACCAATCATTGAAACGTTTTTTTATATTATTCCATGCATATTAATGAGAAATCATACAAAGAAACGTGAGGCAATTGAAAATTGAACATTTTGCATGGCTAGACATCCCAATTTAGAAACTTATTAATATTTCTATCGGGGTTTTTATTACAATACTATTATTCATGTATTGTACACAGTACAAAATATTGGAAAAGTTTGAGTGCCACATCCAATAAAACGTTTTCCGTTTCAGCGTTGTTCCAAACCACATCCCAATACAGTAGGCAGAGGAGGGCCGAAACAGGCGGAGCGTTAAAATATTTACACTGCGGTTGAAAACACGCGCCCTCGTCTGAACCGCCTCGCTCCCTGCGAACATATGAACAAACTACATACCTACACGTTCACAACCACACAATGACTTTGAAAAACGTAGAAAACGAACATTCACAAACATACCCTTCCCAACATAAGGACGAGCTAAAAGGATTTACCTACACAGAAACGATACGATCTCCACTTGTTATACCACAAATAATAAGTCAATGTAACTCGAAACACGACGAAAATATACTGCACATTTTCTAGATAATCTTCAAGTATATATTTCTAGACCGAAAAGACGTATAAATAGTGTTTACGCGTCGGTCACATAAATACATTAGCAATCCGAAGATAAAAACACGATATTCGTCGGCAAATGCAGACGGAATTTAATATTGGAAGCACAATGGATGTGCCTCTACAAAATTAATACATCTTATACATTGAATATCATTCATTGGCGGTACTGCAGACCTCTTCAATTGTTCGGTTGAGAAGAGCGGAAAGCAAATGAAAGGCGGTCCATTGAAAGTGTTCAAAGTTTGCGTACGTGCCCAAGCAGATACGAATAGAGCATCTTTTTTCATTTTATCTTTGACCCTTGCCCTGATCCGTTATAATATCGCCTGTTTTTATTCAATTAACTAAATAATGATTCGATTCAGTTTCGGTGGTCGATTCCCGGAAACTTTATTATATTATCGGTGTGTAGTGGCAGAACACGTAAATTAAGATAAGTGTCAGATAAATAAAATTATTCAGATTGAAGTTTTTATAAGAGCTTTGAAGTGATCCGATAGAATGGTTGTGTAACAGGACACAAAAAACGGAACTCCCTGATTTAAAATAACGCGTAGAACGTAGATATCTTCAACTATAAATAAATCCTGTTTCTGATTCTTAACACACGCCAACGCGAATTGCTCGGTTTCCGTCATGAATAGAAATCTATCTCACATGAGCAGATATGATACACTTCATAGACGAAGGCTATCTTGGAAGTAGCTACTTGTGTCAATTTACATTCAAATCGGCTTTATTAAGGGGGAATATCAATGAGATACGACGCGGAGGATCTCGATATTGCTTTTTAATATGGGTAGCCTACGGAGGATCTAAAAAATTCCAGCGTACACAATTTACAAAATAAAAATATAAATCCAATTCGAGGCGTACAACTTAATCTGCAAAGTGGAATTAAATAAAAAGGAGGACGCTGGACTACGCTACGAAAGTTCTGGTTGTAAATGGCGCTCAGATTTCATCGAGAAAAGCTTAATTTTCATCACGTCAGACGCTGTGCCATCAATTTTCGTAACTAACATTAAGCGTCAGCGGAAAAAATATAAGATCTAATTACTCTTTTCGGATTATAGTGCGCGCACTCTGCCCAGCGTCGATACTGAAAATTCATTTTTAATTAAGTCTGAAAGCTCATCCACAAAGAGCTTTAAATGTTTGAAGAGGCAGCCGCAACGCTTCTAATTACACCACCATTATCATTTACGTCTATGTGCCGACGTTTGACACAACGCTTTTATGGACTCAAGGATTTCGGCTGTCTTGGTAGCAACATGTAATTCAATTTGTAACATTTGTAAGTAGGCGCCGCTGGTACAAAGTGTCGGGAAGTCAGGTCGGGAAAGTGACGGTGCATTTTCTTTTAACGTGTTCGCCATTTCCAGCAATTCTGCCGTGTCACCGTACCTCGTGCGCGCTTTAATAGCCCACTCCAAATGTAACACCGCCGTTTCATATGTCTGTCACGTACTTCAGAGATTTTTCATTCTAATTTTCTTGTTCAAATTTCCAGAAGTTGACTACCTATCTGCGAGTTACAATTGACTGCATATTTGAACCATACTCCTACGATATTACACGTTTCACTGTGTTTATTATGAACCTACGAAGTTGCAGTCATAGAACATAACCATACATATGTAACCTAGCCAAAACCTGTCGTCTGACTGTCACATTGCAATCGCCATTTCAACTTGACTGCGTAGGTGAACCGACTTAAATGTTTTCCGTTGCAATTAAGTACATCTAACTAAACCGAACCTTAAATCGCCCACGATCATTCCAGCTCACCCACAAAGTTGCATGTCTACTGTCTAGACACCTACAAGCTAAACGGGAGAGACAGGTGGACGAATGTAGGTTGATATTTTAGTTATTGGCAAAATTATACGAACCTTTAAATCTAAATCCATGACAAGGTGTTTGCCGAAAGAGGTTCCGCCAGTTTTCTGTATGTGCAAGAAGACCATGACGTCGTGGGCGTTCAGGTCGAATCGGAAGTCATCGTGAAGGACTTCGTCATAGGAGAGACCCGGCTGAGCGATGACGTCAGGAAGTGGCCTGCCAGGAGCTTCAGCGTACGAGAGAGCCAACGACTCGGACACCCGATCCCGCGGTGACAGTGCGCACACCTGATGACAAAACACATACAAACTTAATAAGTATTATCGATATAACATTGAAGTCTTTCACATTTTGAACTTACTAGAATGTTCATGATTTAATAAAACGCTAAATCCTTACAACTTATTCCCATTAGTAGGCGTGTATAACGCGTGTTACGCTTGTCAGCGTTTCACAATACCGTGAAACGAAAATGTTGGTTGTTGATATTATTCCGCTGGAACTTATTTTCACACTATGTTCAGGTGAGACTGAATGTGCATCCATAACAAAGCTCTGTTCAGTAGAGCGCAGAAATATGAATACCTAAGATACATTATTTGCATTCGTCTTTAATATTTTGCTGCTGCAAAAATTTAGGAAAACAAGAAATACGAGATAAATGCGTCCGCTATTCTAGCATTCTACAAATTCTTTTGGCGATCATAATGTCACTAAATTAACCTTTGGAATAAATTAATTTAACAAAATTGATGCTGATTCGATTGTAACGTTATTCTTTGAATACATTCTTGTGACTGTTATAGATCACTATACAAAATCAGTATATAACATAATAATTTACGAGTCTAGGTATAAAATTTACATTCAAATACGGATCGTAAACTCATAAAGACCAAATTAGCATAGCATAATGAAAAATGTGTAAAACTTGTTAGATTCGATGAATATTGCTTTGTGGTTCATATTTGTCACAAAGGTTGATGAGAGGGGCTTTTGGGCCCTCGAAAGTTCATTTATTCTGACCCCTACAAACGCGTATCAGAATCAAGGAGATATTGGGGGCGGGATGGGTTCATGTAACATCGCTGAAGCCTAAACACACATTGCGGGATATATGAGAAATATTACTCAAGTATTGTGTATATATTTCTCATAAATATTGGGTCAATAAGCTTCTTTTTTAACTCTATATTTTCACTCGTGTGTTTTTTGGCCGTAAAGAAAATTTCGGTTGATAGACACGTAAAAAGGATAAAGACTTTTTTATTATTTTTATGTGTGTACAAATAAGAAAATAGTTATTTGTAATATTTATTGTAGAATAAGGCAATATTTCAATAGTTAACACAGATCAGTTTTCATTTCATCGGACAAGAACCCATGCCATGCAACAATAATCCAGAGAAAATGGCAAATTAAAACTGAAAATACGAAATGCCTTATAAGTTTTTAGCGACAGACATAGACACATCAGATTGATGAAGAGACATTTCATTGTAATTTAAAAAACTGTTTTTAATCTAACTAACTATTGCTTTTAATTGTATACTTCTTAAACTATTATATAAAGCGGAAGAGTTTGTTTTTTGTTTGTTTGTTTGTTTGTTTGAACGCGCTAATCTCCGTAACTACAAGTCTGATTTGAATAATTCTTTTTATGTTGGATAGTGCATTTATCGAGGATGGCTATAGGCTATAAAACATCACGCTACGACCAATAGGAGCTGAGGAGAGCGTGTGAAACCGTGCGGAAGTAGCTAGTTGAAACATAAAAAGCATAGAAATTATTATTCTCACCACCGTTCCATATTTCCCAGAAGGTAAACACATTTTAGAATGAAATGTACAAACTTTTTCCATGAGGAAAAGTTAGTTGTTAATTAAATATACTTAGTAACAGTTGCCATCTGATTTATACGAATCAGGGACACGTGTACGCAAAAATTGACTTGAATTTCTTTACAAAGAGTGCAAGTGATAGCCGGCTTTGTAAGCGCCCTTTAAAAAAGAAAGGTAATGAGTTGGTTCACTTCAAATTAACCTCACTTTTGTGGCGAGAGAAATCTGAATATCAAAGGAGGTCATCCATTAAACGCGAAGAAAAAGCAGTGTAAATTACCTTCCTGAAGTGTCATTGTGGAAACTGGTGAATGAGCGCGGAATTAGGTCTGCCTGGTGACACAGGACTTACTTATTCAAATATTCAGTTAATTCTGTCCTTTCATGATAATAAAATAGCTAGTTTTTAATCAAAGATGTAGTCAAAGTTGTACTTATTACTTTATTTTGGATAGCCAATAAATTACAATCCTTATCCCGATACGAAGAAAACCAATTTAGTCAACAGAAGAGAATGAGCACAAAACCCCGTTATCAATATGCAATTATTGCTCTATGAATAATGTCATTAGAATTATCTAACGATATATGACTTGACTAGTTCTTAAACTAGTCACAAAAATAAGGAAAATATAGAAGACAATTAACTACAATCAAACTAAAAAATTAACAAACATTTTTTGAAAAACGAAACCGATGGAACTACGTGATCTTCACATCAATCCAACTTACAAGCATTATCTATAAATATGTATTTCTGCAAGTCAAAAAAATCTAACAGTTCTCCATACCGTTTTACTTAAAACTTCTCTACAATACCTTAACTTGGTAACAACAGCCATTTGTATCCAATATTTTCTATTCCACTTCGTATTGTTCTCACAAAACGGGTTTATTATAAGAAGCAATTTATTAAATAAGTCCAACGTACCAAAGTATACACGTATAACAAATAGTATACTGTCTCGGTATTTTGAAAACCAACGAAATACTGGTTCTACGCCGATTTAGACACTAACTATGACACAGCGTTACATGTTTCGGAGCTTTTCAATAAAAATGGTAATTTTGCTCCCATTACATTTTTATCAGACCACTAACTATAGGTTTTTGTTAAATCACTTAACACGGTAAGTACTAACGCACCTAATTATTCAAATTCGACCCAAATATATTTTCCAAATGCTCTTCAAACCAAGCTCAAGGGTATACATTAAAACAAAGTCTCCCCATTGCTTCACGTAAGTACGGTTTGAAAGAACCCCTTAACCTCTTTAAAGAAACCCAATTTCTCGAATTTATTTCTCATTTCTCTGCATATTTTCATGGTTTCCGTTACAGTAAAATCTAATCTAGAGAGAAAAATGTTTTAATATCTTTTAGAGTCGCGTTAAAGGTCGGTGGGGGTTAGGAGGGTGAAGGGATAAGGGTGTCTATGCTCTCCCCGCTTGTTTGTTCGCCTAATGAAGTGGGTAGAGCGCTCTGGCCCATTAATATACAGTTACAATCAGCACTGCCACCACCCCAACGATTTTACTCCACTTATTACGATTACTGAGATGTCGCCGAGACAGTAAACAACAAACATTAAATATAGGTTTACAGTCAAGATTCCAAAACGTACTAAACGTTTTTCAATTAAATAATATTAGTTAGGTTGAAGGTATCGCGGCGTAGTATTGATTACTACAATTCACTATAACCCTCGCATCGATCAAAGGTTTTCGCTGCGGATTACTCATCATTGATGCATTAGCAGCGGTTTATAATAGGTGGGGTATAACTTTACGTAACACGATCCGGCGCCAAGCGCACGGGACGCTTTCTGGCGCCTTATTATAATGCAGGAATTGAGTTATTAAATAATGTTACCAAGTTTATCGTCAAGTGCAGCCCCTCGGCGCTTCGCAGCACTTGTTTACCTTCATTGTTTTGTTATCTTTTCTTAGTTGTCACACAGCGGTGTCGCCTGCATCGCAAGAACTTTACACGGCCAACTTCCTCCGTAAAGTAATAAAAGTCTCATGAACGCACACTGTATTGTGTAGTTATGTAAACGCTTCACGTTCCAACGGCGTAATTGTGCTTATTAAAACTAGACCTGTGCCTAATCAAGTCTCGAATTACATTAGTGTTGACATTACCATATTAACAAAAAACCACAACGTGCCCCGAATGTTCACCTCAACTTCTCAATCCAGTTCAGCTTTGCTCTACATGGCCGAGAGCCGAGAGGTACAGCAATGCTTATCTTAATTTCAGTTATTTCTTGTTCCGAGTTACATTTCTCTGAAAGTAAGACCTACTTTCGATATAGGTCAAGTACATTACGGTATATCAACATGTTGTAACAAGGCTTCAGTTATAATAACCAACAAAATTAATGCGGCGATCGCGTGTGAACGCAATTTAGTGCAGAAAAAAATGTTTAAGTTCTAAATTATCGAATTAAGCATTATGTAACGGCTAAGCTTCCAAATGCTAATTGCTTAAATGGAAAAATGGCCGACATTATTAATTTGTAGTACGAACTGTTTATGTACAAAGCACTTCACAAACATGTTACACCGTCTTAAATAGTAAGTCCTTCTGAGATAAACCTCATTTACTGCCCGTTTTGGCGCCATATAATTAGAGTTAATAGAGCTAATGTGCTGTGCTAAACACTTACAGCATAACTACAAATCCGAACTATGAGATACTTACAACTAATTAACATTGGTTTGATGAGTACGCGCACTAGAATAGGGACAAACTAAATTGTGTCATCCTCTTGAAGATGTCATTAATTAATGAAGTAGGTAACTGTAGTTGTAGCTTTTAATACTGTGTTGAGTTTATCGTTGTTGGCACTCTGTCAGGACTCGAAAAAGTCCTTGAAAATCCTGTGCGCTTAGCTCTCATTTTTATGCAGTTTGAAAGGTCGGTAAAAAATTTACATAAACAGTCTTTATATCTGAATAGGTACGTAAGTAATGTAGGTGTATCTGTCCAGGTGTTATCCTGTCCATTATCAATTCACGGCGCGGTTCGTGGCGAGTGCAGACAACTGGCACCACCATATGAGGCCGTGGAGTCAGTACGAAACGCAACTCGCGTGCGAAGAGATGCAATTTTATCCTTTGTTTCGACTTTTGCAATTCGAATTTTAAACGCATGACCATAGAGGGAACTGGAAAGAGGTATTTCAAGGCCCAAAGGCTACTGTCCCATGCTTGGTACTGCAAGTACGTTGCAACATTGCAGGACATCTCTCTAGAGGTCCATAATTAAATGGATGAGCAGTCGATAAAGATTGCTAACCGTGTACCTGCAGATAGATAGGAGAATCGTCTGGTTCGGTGCAGAAATTTATATTGCCTAAATATCTAATTTACGTAAGTTAGCACTAAAGCTGTTCTTTGATGCGTTTCATCAAAAAAATAAAAGAAATAAATGAACCCGATCAAATTACAGCAGGTTTTATTTCATTCCTTATTAAGTAGTTAATAGACAAAACGAGTAGAATTTTAAAATATGCATTATAAGCGAGGTCAAGCACCGACCGACGCGTCCGTGACTTCTCCATACTGACTATACCTAGCTACAAAACGACATTGCAATCCGTTTGCAGTTATTTAAATTACAAACTGTTCCGACTGCCAATACTGATCCGCCCACGAGTCTACGACACGTCTATTAAAGCTGCTCACGCGATTGTCCGTATCATGGCATCGTGGCTCACTCGTTGACGTCGGCCGATACAAAACAAAAGTTCATTAGCAGTTCCCAGTCGATTTTACAGAGATATGAAATTATTGTTACGCAAAAAGTGGTCAAATGCGAATCGTGGCGTAGCGTGGCGTGTTCAAGTCTTCGAACCAATTTTTATTAAAAACAATGATTGATCGCTACACGTAACAGCTTCATACCAACATGTAGTTTGAGTGGCTGGTGGTTGCAAGTCCTGCCATTTTTTGCGGGCGGCCCGTCAGACCGGCCTGCTCGATTCCTGGCTACCTACTGATAAAAAAACTGAACACGATGGCCGCCACGCTCTTAATTAGTACAGTTGATGCGTCTATGAGTTCTATGACTGTGTATTATAAGAAAATAGACAGAATCCAGTACATAAAGTTACTCCAAATGTATAATTTCTTTAAAACATTTTCAACCTTATTTCCTTGGATAAAAGTCGAATATCATATTAATTTACTTTGTCAAATTTTGTTATTGCATATTCTAAATAGGTAGGTAGATACTTATGAAATAACAAAATTTGAGTTTAGGATAGTTTGGTATATGCAGTAGCAATTTAAATTTTTCCAATTTTAATCATTTATCAAGCAAATATTTACTTTACATTCTACATGATTATATATTACCTAACAATCATTTTCAACACTTAGAACCTATCAATTGATGATAAATTATAATAATATTGCAACATTTGCAACAAAAACATTTTTAATTTTCAATAATTTACGTAATAACTAGAGATTAGATAATAAAAGTAAGTAAGTAGGCACTTATATTGTTAAATTGGCACTAAGTATTGATAAAGAATTGAAGGTGATTGAGATAACCTGATTATCCTATAGATGACAGATAACATTTATTAATCAATAAATATCTTTTTTATTTTCAGTAACTGGTACATTGGGTGAGCCAGTTACGGAGGTTGTGTTTTCAAAAATGAATTTTATTGGTGTTTAAACATCATGAATCATTTATTTTTATATTGTTCGCCTATTTGTAATATTGATTCTGACTTAAGAAATCTGAATCTAAATATGAGTTCAATGGCATCAAAAAAGCTTATGTGGCAAAATCATACAATTTTATTATTTTTAAATGAGACTTATCTCTGAGACAAATAGTTACTCAATGCATTTTCTTCTCATGCATCATGCCATTGTTTCTCAATGGATTTTTTAAGATCTTATCTTATGCAATATGCAATATCTTATCAATATCAGTTCAGCAGTTTAGAAGTAACCAGTATGTAATGTGTAACAATAACACATATAAAAAAATGTTAGACTTTATTTATTGATCTATTTTATAAAAAAATATTTAATAATATTGACTAACTATTATTATAATAGCTTCAAATTATAATACAAAACTATATTATTAGTAATATCCTGAAATGAATCATACCTACATTGTATTCATTTTTTAAACAAAAAGTGTATTATACACTACTTAGCTGTTTCCCACAATTTTGTCTGTGTAGAGTAATGACTTCTGGCAGAATTTGGGTTTTCTAATAACCATAGATCCAATGTAAGGATCTTTTTAATAGATTTTTCAAACATCAGGAATTTTTTTTTTAATTTTATTTTTACATGGTTCCATTTTTTTCTCTTTTCAAATACAGCCTATCCTCTTGTCTGTTAAAAGTTGCGGGTATAATGTGTTTTATACCGGGAGCTGGTGTTTCAACAGATAAGAGGTTGTTCATCATGGATAAAGTGGGATTGCAATCGTAAAATAATTTTATAAATTGGACCAATAGTTTTAGAGCCTATTTAATTCAAACAAACAAACTAAAAATCAAATCTTTCCTCTTTATAATATTAGGTAATGTTAGACACACATAGTTAGGTAGTTAATCATTATTATTTTAACAGTTTCCGTATATGTATGTATAGATTACTAATTAATTGTTGTGGTTTTTAATTAAAATTATTTCATTTAGTTTCTATGTTATCATTTATTTATAACGACAGTATATTTGTATATTATTTAGATTTTAGATGTTTAAGATATTAATTTAGACCCTTTTTTAAATCATTAAGGTATTAACTTGTAGATAATTTCATTAATTTAAGTAAATTGACATACATAACAAGTCAAAATATGTTAGTTAAGATAACAGACATGATAGCTTCGTTTTGTACAAGATCACCCATATTGCTTATTCCGACTTAATAGTTTGTTTATTATATTTTTCATATATTTTAAATATAATGCGTTATTTTATTTATTATATTATAGACCAATCAAATTAGGATTATAAAAGTGTAGATGGCTTTTTAAAGATTAAAGTTTGGTTTTCTGTATAATAAGAATTTCAAGTAAGTAATAATATTTTTAATAATGTAAAGCTTTGTATTTTTTATTGTTATACAGTATAAAAATATATATTGTTATTTGAAATGAAATTAAATGGAATTCCAGAATTTGATATATATTTCAGTTATAAAATTGCTGCTATAGAAATGATATCATTTTTTTATTTTGTTTATATTAAATAGAAAACTTTTAATTCTTATTTAGTAGAAAAAGTAAATCAAATATATTTTACATCAAATTATTAAAACTAAACTAAATTAAGATTTAGTTACAACAAAATTGGTTATGTTTATCCGTATGACATGAGAACTCAGCTGGCATAACCCATCTTAATAATTAAAAAAGGGTTTAGTGTTGTAAAATTAGGAAACTGGGTATTTTCAAAACACATGTCTATGGTATTGTACAAATACATAATTTAAATGTACTGTTTCCCCAAATTATTTCACGGAATGTGTGGTAAACACAAACCTCAGAGCCTGAACATAAACATAAACATTTTGTAGTAGTTTGTAATTAAGAAGGTTTTATCTCTATGCAATTAGTCTATGGGCTCACCTGGTCAGGACAGAAGTATCCAAATGCCACCATACCAAACAGTGATAGTAGTAAACAGAATAGTATCACTTTTCGTAACTTCGATCTTGGCTCCATTTTTTTAATTTCGTAGACACCGCTCGGCAGTAACAAAGCGAAATCACTATCTACTTGCACTGAAACACTTTTTTGCATTTCGACTGAATGCATGTCTCATTTTTACAAAAATATCCCCGACCCAACACTCACGGATTATGTCTACTGTCTTTCTTCTAATACGAAAGTACATAAATTCATTGTAACATTGATTTCACATTGTTCTTATCATGCGATTATCCGACAGCGATACAGTCCGATAGCATTGTTTTGTTGATATCACTCGTAGATGTTATGCCATTAAACAAAGTCGAAAATAAAATGCGAGACGAGTGCGATACTCAAGGTGAGCTCGAGCCGACCGACTGCGACTGACACAACGCGAAGACGACTGACGGTCCCGAGACGCGACCGAAGGCAATGAACACAAACAAACAATCCTAGGGTAGAGCACATTCACGAAACACTTACACTCCCGCACCATATTATTGTGTTGATGTATTAAAACTAATGAATTACTTAATTTACAATAGCAGCCATTCGATTTTTATTAAAATAATCGAATTTTTTCATAGCATATTCAATTTACACAGATGAGCGTGTTCCACTCGTCTACTGTATGAAACTGACATTAACAAAAGTGAGCATAACGATAAAAGTGAGGCAGTACTATACAGAAAACCCTGAAGAAGAAAAGAGATGCTACTATGCTGTTATGTAAAATGTGAACAATAACGTCGAAGGAAAATATTGGAACGGAACGCTACAGTCGTTTAGAAATATTATCTGTCACTTTCACAGCTTTCACTTGACAGTTATCTTTTTTAATTTTCGTCTAAAAACTGCTAAACTATTGTTACGTTGTGGAAAGTACGAAAGGAGAATAATTTAAGTTCTCGTTGAAATCCAGGATGTTTAAAAAAAGGAGATGTTACGAAGGTAGGTAGACATGAAAATTTGTGGCAAATGAAGAATAAGATCAAAATGCAATATGTTCCAACTTGTTTCACATATTATTAAATGTTCTTCTATTTAATTTGTCTCGTGATGTGACTTGTACCTAGATACTGTTTTGTAGTCGAATATGGGTATCATAGCATGACTTATATCAGTATTATCTTCAATCCCATTAGAATAGACCATAACGACTGCTGCCAGTTGTCACGCAGCATTCATTTTTCCACAGATCATTTCTCAATGAACTCCCATGTTCCATAGTAAGTCTACCATTCAAACCGTATCTGTAGTTTATTACCCTATTGTCTCACAGTCGCGTAAAATTTAATCTAGTTCATAATAAAATGATGCCAAATTGTAAGCACAGGCATCAAGACGGCAATTTTCTCTTCGCAAACTTAATTTTTGAGTTCCACTCACAAGATCGAATTGAGTATAAGGATTTGGAAATTCTCGTCTCTTTATTACATGGATACTATGCATATCCACTGTACGGAGGTATATAAGACCCCACTCTTCAACTATAATAAATTAAAAAACCTATTGTAATAGAGTTCGATATAACTTACCGGTTCATCAAGCGAGATTCAGAGTATTTGAAAACCTAAGCAATAACCACAGGGAATCAAACCCGAGGCTCAAACTGTCAACAATAACAGTTTTATCTGATTCATAGACAATTCTAGTCGTAAATAATTATGTAGTCATTCTGAAATTCAAATTATTATGAAAGTGCATGCGTCATGGTATTACGACACTTCAGAGAACTTTCACCAGTTTTTTTCAGCTTTATTGCACTATTTTCAGTTTTACTATCTCTACTTTAGTTGCTGTAGGTTTAGGGAACTTTAATCAAAAGTGTCGACTAAATAATAAAGAGATTCGGCTTCATTCATTATAATGAATAAAATGGAATAAAAATATCGTATGATGGTCTCTTGGTATAACGTCAACAACATTTTCATATACAAATAACTTTTCTGCTATTTAACATAACTAATAACATCTACATTAATTAATATCTAATAGACACACAAACGATAATTTTATGAATGGCTGGATAAAAATAATAATTAACAAATTCAATGACAGGCTTTAATCCAGTATCACTTCTAAGAGAATTTCATATAGAAGGTACATAATTTTTAAAATCAATTCTTCATGTTATTAAAGAAATCAGTTTTCTTACTAAAACAGAATACAAACTAAAAAAATATGTAAAACAAAGGACATATCTATAATGCATTAGCAAAATTAACTAGAAATTAGTTTCAGGTATTAATAGAATACCATTGTGGCACTACTCCTAGACTTCTACACAAATCAAGAACAGATTCAAAATATTTCATTTATTGTAAAACGAAAAGGCACTTTAAAATTAAGGTGGGGGGCAAATGATACATGAATAAAAATATAATTAAGGTCAGAACAAGTTATAATGGAAATTTATTTTTGTTTTGTCATCAATTTCTCTCGTCACACTGTAGTTTCACTTAAAAGTAGAAAATATGTTAAGTTCTTTTTTTATAATATATATGTACACATGTTAAAAAATTCAACAAGGAACAATCCATACATACCTACAACTTAGAAATAATTATGTGATCAGAATCTTCTCAAACTAGGTCACAAGAAACTTTAAAATAAAGGTGTCATTTTACTCCATGATATTGCAATATTAGGTCATTATCAGCAAATGTAAATATTGCCATATCGAAATTAAGTAAAACAGTAAGCAGCACATGGAGTAAAACCAAACTCAATGCCACGAGAGAACTCATACACAACTGTCCATTATATTGATGTAAAAAAATTTATACAAAAGGTCCACACCTTATTTGATTACAATTTCTGCAATATAAAAGTTATAATTCACCACTGATATTATCAGCTTTTCATATATTTAATGAATATCATAGACACTTTGATGCCAAGTTATTGTAACACTCAGTCAGCGCACAATGTGTAGATATTTGTATCAACGTTTGTAACTTCACCAGTCCCTAACAATAGGATCAACTCCTCTCACCACAGAATTTTCTAGTTATAAAAATTACTATATTTTATCGATTCAGTCCACAAATTTGAAATAAAGTCCACAATTCCACTCATCGTCACCTAGTGCATGACTAGTGCGTGACGACTGTTGGTATTAATGTTCTGTTCACTAGGCGTTTGTTTATTAAAACGTTCTTCCAGTACGAATATTATTTAGCACATTTTAATTTGTTGAAAGTTTTTTAGCGATGCACTGTTTAAAACAATCAATAATATCTATGTTACATTTAAAATTGTTCAAGTTGGAACGCAACAACCGCCGGTCACGTCATTATAGGACATAATTTCTGTCTATGTATGTCCACTATACATACGTCTATGTAATGCGGTACCAATTAGTCGACTACTAGTTGTCTATGGGGAGAAGCCAGTCCTCAAATTGTTTTCACAAAACAAGCACTTCAATCAATTGCGGAGACGCCCGCGGCCTCGCGAACCGTCTCGGTCCTGAAACAAAACAATACTATTATAGATTTAATTTATAAGAGGGGAACTACAAGCATATAGCCATAACTTTCTTGCGACCATTTTTACAATGAAACAAAAGTAATACATTGCTCAGGTTAAAACATGATAACTATAACAGTGAATGACGTATATTGAAATCTATTTAATTAATTTATGTATGACATCTATTTAATGTACTATATTGTAATACTACCCACCTTTCTGGGTCTGTTGTAGTCACGGTCACGATACATATTAGACAAGGGACCATCTCGGTACATGCCCGGATCATTGCGATCATTATGATCATAGTCCCGATGTCCATCATCGTCTAAATCGAGAGCGTCCCGATGGTCGCGAGGGTCGCGATAGTTACGTGAATCTCGATGGTCACGTGAGTCCCTATTATCGCGGTGGTCCCGCCCGTCGCGCCCGTCTCGACCGTCTCGGCCGTCGCGAGGGTCGCGCCCGTCTCGACCATCTCGACCATCGCGACCGTCGCGGCCATCACGACCCTCTCGGCCATCGCGTCCATCTCGCTTGTCACGGTAATCACGATAATTGCGACCACCGTATCCGCGACTGTTGTCATGCTCTTCGCGATTATTGTCCTGCGGATGATAAGCGGGTACCTTGCGGGAATCTTCTTCCTCTTGACGCTTTTCATAATGAATGAAGTCGTCAAAAATAGACGTAGAATGGCAATAGCAGTGCATAATACGTAACACTTGCAATCCTTTAGCGTGGGGCACTTCCTGCGTATCGCGAGAATTGGTCACCGGCTTATTCTCGTTATTCTCTAATTTGATATGCCGTAGTTGCACGTTCGGAACGTCCTTAACATAGATCCACCTAACACGAAACTGTCCCTTCCACTTGTCCTGAGACCACACATTAGAATTGGAATTGTAATCAACCGCACTGGTCATGCGTGCCATTCCGCAGAAATGGCCACTACCGTTCACAGAGAAGAACAGGAAAACTGCACCACCTTCCCTCTCGCGCTCACGGTATGCCGCGTCCAGACGTTTGTTACCGTGTTCAGTACTGCACCATATCTCATATTTAATGCTTCGATGAATATCATCCTCCGAGTACGACTTGATCACAAAAAAGCGAGCTAAAGGTGCACTCAAGTCGAATTCCTTAGGATTATAGTCATTCTTGACACGGAGTTCATCCAGCACAGGGTGTGGCACGGCCGGGGCTGGGGGCGGCTGCGGTACAGGCACCGTAGGCGCGGCCAGCTGTGGGCGCGGCAGGTGGGGCTGCGGCGGCGAGTGCGCCGGGTGAGTCGCGTGCGGCGGCGGAGCTCTGGGCGCGTGGGTCCAGGCAGGCGGCGGCGGCGGCCCGCGCTGCTGCAGCCCCGAGGGTGCAGGCGCGGCAGCCGGCGCCGGCGTAGGCATGGGCAGTGGCGCAGGCACTGGCGGCGACTGCATCGGCGGCGGGGGCGGTGCCGTCACTACAGGCGCGCTCTTGCCGGCGTCCCATGTACTAATATCCATATTGTGTTTTCCGGGAATTATTGGTGGTGGAGGCATGCCAGGGCCCTTCTTTTTCACAGCTCCGCCCTGCGAGGAGGGCGCAGGTTTGGCGGGTTGGCTCGCAATAGATGCCCATGTCATCTTTTTGGGTTGCGAGCCACCCGACAC